GCTGATGTTGCTGCTTTAAAAGGCATTCCTCTCTTACGTTGCGAAGTGCAGCAGAGGAAAAAGCTGTTAGATGACGTATATGTCAGGGTATATCTAAGTAGTGTTGTGTTATGTAGAGCTTTCTTCTGCTTCACTCGGAGCAATAGCAATTTTGTTACCCAGCTAAATTGACTGATGGAAGATAGCAGGAAAATGGCATTACTGCTGCTCAGATGTGGTGGGTACAGACCATGTCACCTGTACAACACGAGACAGATGTGCTACAGCTTACAAACTATGTAGTGATTACATTACGGGAGAGAAGAAAGTGAAAGTGTGTGGAGACAATTATATGCTTATCACTCGGACGCTGTGTACATTCCATTTCTTTTATAAACAATACTAGAGACCTAGTGCATGAAACCACCAGGGGGCAACTCCTGCTTGAGTATATGCCCCCTGGTGGTCAGTGCATGTCATAGCAACCAGTTGTTCTGGTCATTCTGGTCGTTCCTTTGTAAGGTGGCGTAGGCTTTTATATACATAGATATGTCATATGTGATGAGGTAACAGCCGTGGTAGCAGCTTGGGTGGGATGGAACTTGTGAGCGTTGCTAAGTCCATTTGCCCTGCAAGTGCCGATTGACTGGACATTTTGGGCCAGGGTGTCTTAAGTGCTGAAGTTATAAATATGAATAAAGCAAGCAAGCCCCTTGTCTCCAATGGGCTCGGCGTCAAATAGCAGTTGTGTCATCATTGCCGCCTGCTGGGGGGTAGTCCACTGAGCCGGCTCTTCAGAAGGCAGTGGGGTCAAGGGAGGCGTCCAGAAAACAGGGGGTAGGGGGGCCTTAGATGAAGAAAGAAAGCTTATTCTACTGTCTCAGGGAGGAAGGACAGAAGGATGCAATGATGTCTGTAGGGTTGAGAGCAGTCGGTGGTAGTGCTCCTGGGCATGGCTTTGGGCTGTGAATGCTCAGCTTGTATTTCCAGAGTAGCAATAATAATGATGTTTAAATAAAAGGACACCGTCTTGTTTCAGAACGGAGGGACGTTGTCGGTGGCGAGAGGTGTACATGTATAGGCTGCTTACCTGGATGAGAGGTTGTCAGCAAGTGCCCCTGGGTGAGTGGATGCGTGTGAGTGAATTAGTGAGTTAGTGGGAGTGTGTGAATGAATGAACGCCCGTCAGGTGCCCCCTGACAAGCAGGGCCTTAGAGCTCGTCCTTTGTCGCTCTTTCCCCTGCGCTGTCCTGGTTTTGTATTGAATTTTTCAACTTCTCCAAACCAGACCCTGGGCTGGCAGATGAAGATGAACTCAGGGTGGCGCGTGGGAGGCGTTAGCTGCCATCTTTCTAGATGGCAAAGGCAGTGCCACGCCGGCTGTGGGCTAACAAAACTAACCCAGAGACTTGCGAGAGGACTGCTGGCCCCGCGGGGAGCGGGTGCGTTTCCCAGACCCCCACTCCTCTCCCGGCGCTGAGGCCATTCACAGGCAGGTCTGTACGGGGCCTGCCGACATCCATCTAATGGAAACGCAGGAAGGGAGATTTTGGAAGGTGGCCTACACCGCATGCCAGTGCAGAAACCGAAATTCCAGGTGAGTGTGAGGTGTGGCAGCGCGGTACTTATGTTCCATGGCAACTGTAGCCTGTCAGTCAGAGACACACAGGAACATCTCAAAATAAAGACAGCGCACACTCACCGCTGGCTCATTAAACACTGTTACGTTACCCTCAGGTTGTATGCTTTTCTAAGGCATTTTTTTTTTTTTGCAGAATTATTTTATAGGGTCTGACAGAGCACACTGAACTTGGAGACAAAATAAATTGTCCTATTGTTAGTTGAAGTACAGCTAATATTTTGCAAGAAGCACACTTTTTTGTTTTTAATCATCTCATTACGACATAATGATCTTCTTCCAGCTGAGGTGTCTAATTGCTGTCATATCCAATAGCCTGTTAATTGGTGAGTGTAAAGCAAAAAGCCACCGTGGACACATCTAGACTACGCTCTCATCGCATAGAAATGGAGTCGACACGGAGTACTTGTTAATTACATTGGTGGAGCGCTGCCTAAATCTGTACTGAGCGCGCATGGTTTTTCTGTTCCTACAAACAATAGCTACACCGTCCGGAACATCTGCGTGGCTCTCTCTGTGCCAGGTGTCACTCAGCGTCGTGAGGACTGGCTTGAGATGTCCTTGATCACAGTTCACATATCTGAAAAGCAGGTGGTTGGTGTGGTCAAAACTTGGCGGTCGGAGCTCGAACACACCTCTCCCCCATCCCTGAGGGGGACGAGACCTCCCCTTCTGCTGTTGAACCACAGCGCGTTTTAAAAACCGATTCTTGCGTTTAAATAATTATGTACGTATTTTACATTTATGTATTTAATATGTCAGAATAAATGGAAAGGCATCATTGAAATATATTCAGGGTTCCAGGGACCTTTACATTTTACGCACACATCCACTAAAGCGTGTGTGTGAGAGTGTGTGTGTGTGTGTGTGAGTGTGTGTGTGTGTGTGAGTGTGTGTGATTGTGTGTGTGTGTGTGAGTGTGTGTGTGTGAGTGTGAGTGTGTGTGTGAGTATGTGTATGAGTGTGTGTGTGGTGTGTGGTGTGTGTGGTTGTGTGGTGTGTGTGTGGTGTGTGTGTGTGTGTGGTGTGTGTTTGTGAGAGTGGGTGTGTGTGTGGGTGAGTGTGTGTGTTTGATGTGTGTGTGGTGTGTGTGTGAGTGTTTGTGTGTGACTATGTGTGGTGTGTGTGTTTGGGTGTGTGTGTGTGTGTGTGTGAGTGTGTGTGTGTGTGGTGTGTGTGTGTGAGTGTGAGTGTGAGTGTGTGTGTGTGAGCGCGCGTGTGTGTGTGCATGTGTGAATGTGTGTGTGTGTGTGTGTGTGTGTGTGTTAACATACATAACAGAAGCCATTTTACAGGGACCATCACCCTATTTCTACACGGTTACCAGGCTGGTTTGTAAAGCAGAAAGTGGCCCCTCCGCCTGGTTTTGAGTGTGGGCTTGGGCGCTTCCCCAGCCAGGACCCACCGGCACCGCAATGCTAGTCCAGAGCTTCCTGGGTGCACTTGGACGTGTCAGGCCATTCCTCACCCCCCCTCACCATCTCCTCCCTGCCTTTGTGACCGACCCCTTCTCATGACTTGCTGCTGTCCTCCATGGCGTCGCCACCGCCCTCTCACGAGTCTCCATTAAGGGGAGGAGCGCTCGCGGGACGCTCCTTGCTCTCAGGCTGTCGGGCTGTTTGGGTAATTACTCTGTGACTCTGGGTGTCTTGTTTGTTCGGTGGGTGTTAGCTGTGATCAAAACGTCACTACAGGAGAAGACGAGGGAGTGATGTTGTGAGGCCCCTGGACACCCACATGCACCACAGGTGCGCATTGCGATGAGAACGCATTTTGCGGACGCACAGTAAGAAACCTCCAGGAATTCTCACTCATTTCCCTGGTTCTGTGACCTTGGAGTCCCAGAGCATGGTTCCCCGTTTCCTCGTGTTATGTTTCCTCCCTGCACCTTCTTGGGAAGCACTGCCTGTTCTTTTCAGATCCTGGCTCTGTGGGAGTGCCTGTTCAACGGAACATGATAAGTAATGCACGGGCATTGATTTCTCTGACGATGGCCACACCGTTCATGATATTTTTAGTTCTGTCACACCTTGCATCTGATATCCTTTTGGTATTCTTTTTATTAAAACAAAAGCAGTATATCTCTGCCCATAAAAAGAGATTAGTTGGAAATTTACCACGGTTCTATTTCATCTCCTTTTTGATTTTCAGTGTTCGGTACTGACTGACCCTCTGCTACGCTTGGAATCAGGTAAAGAAGAGCTTTCTTTAAGGACAGCCTCCCGCGTGGCCACCTCACGCCTGGTCTCTGAGGGGCTGTCGTCGGCTGTGCTTGCGCACCGGGCACAGCCCAGGAAGGGTGGTATGACCGTCACACTCCCCACGGTTTTCTCAGAGGCGTCCTCTGTGTAAACACCACGGATTGTGATGGGTGGGGGAGGAACAGAAGCGTTGGTTGCAGGATCAGCTCTTACCTTCCAGATGAACACCGGCAGCAAGGCTTGCTGGGCAGCCCTGTGTCTGCTCTACAGGCCCGTCCCTGGGGAGCATGTCCCTGGTGAATACACCACTGGGGAACGCCGCCCTGTGGCGCCTGGAAGGGGCCGTCATGGGTCTGAGACAGGACAAAGGCGATATTCCAGGATCATTGCAGAAAATCTCCAGTTTGTCAGCAAGAAAATATGAGTCGAACAAGAGGCGATGAGGTTGGAGACGGCCTCACTGGGCGTGACTGTTACTCCCTGATCCCCGCTCCTCCCCGGAGAGGCCTCCTTCACGCCCCGGGCCGGAGAGGCCTGCAGCCGTGCTCCTCCTCTCCGTCTCCCTCCTCTAATCCGATGCCAGCGCTTTCTAGTGCAGGGAAGGTCTGGTCCTCATGGCCGAACCTCAGCTTTGGAGTCAGCTGTTCCTGAACGTCCTCTTAACCCTTCTAGCCCTGAGATCTTGGCTGACTTATTTATTTTCCAAGTCACATTTTCTTAACTGTAAGATGGAAATGACAGTAGTGCTTCCCTTGTAGGCTGCATGCCAGGATTGAATGAGAGGCCTCCTACTCTCAGCTTAGCCTTTATAACCTATGCTTTGATAGTAGCAGACTTTCAAGGTTACAGTGTTGAGCGTTGACCTATGAACCAGGAGATCACGGTTCAATTCCTGGTCAGGACACATGCCCAGGTTGCAGCTCGATCCCCAGTGTGGGGTGTGCAGGAGACAGATGATCAATGATTCCCTCTCATCATTGATGTTTATGTCTCTCTCTCCCTCTCCCTTCCTCTCTGAAGTCAGTAAAAATTAAGAAAAAATATATTTTTTAGGGAAATACATCCAAAGTTAATTAGGTGCTTATACTAAGTACACATACACCCTTTGTACCTATGTAGGATGCATATGGTGTTGTTAAAACTTTAATGTATGTTTTTCTCATTGAACCTATGTATATAACATTACTTAAAATGTTCTTTTATTCAAGAGTTGGTAAAAAAAAAAAATATTGCCGAATTAAACATTCCAATTATTGAGATGGAAATTGGACAGATTGGAATATAGCCCTTGTTCTTTCGGGAATAAAAATGTTAAGATGAAATATCGCTAATCTGGACAGTGATATAATCTATTATGAATATTTACTATTAT